TCCACGGGAAGCTACAGCCCTTGAATTCGTTTCGTGGACTCAAACTTCTCCCACAGCTGTAGCTCTTGGGCATTGCTTGCATCCCTGCCGCTGTCCCGAGCCGGGCTGGTGGGCGGGAGCACCATTCCCATGCCAGAACCCCACCCCCAGTTGTCATGCAGAACCGCTGCTGGAGGAGAAAAGAGATGACCCGGAAAACCTGAACCAGGGCCCGCAAACTTTTTAGAAATGAAGACGGCCCCTGGGACACAGAAGGGACCGCTCAAAAGACCTCATCGCTGGATGATGTCATCCAAGAGAGGCCGCTCGCGCTGTGTCCGGTGTGCTCCTGCCTTTACGGTTTCTGTTGACGCTTTTGACGCCTCTGTCACTATTCAGCAAATGCAGATGTCTGCTGGCACGGTGCCGAGAACACCGGATAAATGCCCGCCTTTAGGAGGCCGTGGTCTCCAGGGGGAGAAAGCCACACACGCACACACACACCCCACGAGCAGGGCCAGAGGCAGTGGGCTGGGGAAGCGCCAGCCGTGAGCTACTTCCAGTCTTTCGGGTTGGCACAAGCGTCGTGGTGCCTCTATAAGTGGCGCAGGCCAGGTGTGGCACACGTGTTCCACACACGTGCTGTCTGGGTGTTCACGGGTGGCAGAGCTGGTGTCTCTGCCCTGTGTGGCCCCTAGCACCTGCAGCCACGTTTGGGGAGCGCCTGATCCTGGCGCTGAGCATGCTGGGAACAGAGGATCCCAGCGCGGGCTCAGGGCCTGCAGGCCCAAGTTCCCACCCAGCTTCAGGCACTCATGGCGGAACCCCAGCCTCGCACTTGACACCACTGCTGCCCACTTGCGGTGTGGACCTCTGTGTCGGCCCCTCCCCACGGCCCCTGGCTCGCCTCTTCCTGTCTCTGCCAGAACAGCCCAGCTCAGCCCACCTGCTGGGAGGCCCCTCCCGGGCCCAGGCGCTCTCAATGCCTCTTCCAGTGGGCAGGAGCAGTCTCAGAGGGGGCGGCTGGGGGCTGTGTGTTTCCACCCCACCGGGGCACTGGGTCCCCCGACCTCTGCCTCCTGAGGACAGCGCCCGTGTCTGAGTCTCGGTGGCACCTGCAGCTCAGATGTGCTGGGCTCGTCCCCGCGGGAGCTCTCCTGTCTCCCTCCCACAGCCGCCCCCACGCCCACCCAGGGAAAGGCACCTCGGCTTCACCCCCTGGCCGGCTTGGATTTCCTTACTTGGATTTTCCTTTATTTTTTATTTAGTTCTGTTTTATCTGAAAGGCAGAGAGAGAGAGCGAGCGAGTGAGCGAGCTTCCATCTACTGGTTCACTCCTCCAATGTCCACAAGGGCCAGAGCCAAACTCAAGAACTGGGAACTCCATCTGGGTCTCCCGTGCCGGAGGCAGGGGTGCGAGTACTTGCGCCATCATCTGCTGCCCACCAGGGGGCGCCCTGGCAGGAGGCTGCATTGGAAGGGCTGCTCAACCCAGGCGGCATCGGACACAGGAGCAAACACCTGCCCTTCCTCGGATTTTCTTAGTCTGCCTGGAATTTCGTGGCCACGATGAGCAGCTGTTCCTCACCCACGATGGCAAACGTCATCTTAAGACAAAGGAGCGTATGGCCGGCGCCGCGGCTCACTAGGCTAATTCTCCGCCTTGCGGCGCCGGCACACCGGGTTCTAGTCCCGGTCGGGGTGCCGGATTCTGTCCCGGTTGCCCCTCTTCCAGGCCAGCTCTCTGCTGTGGCCCAGGAGTGCAGTGGAGGATGGCCCAAGTGCTTGGGCCCTGCACCCCATGGGAGACCAGGAGAAGCACCTGGCTCCTGCCATCGGATCAGCGCGGTGCGCCGGCCGCGGCGGCCATTGGAGGGTGAACCAACAGCAAAGGAAGACCTTTCTCTCTGTCTCTCTCTCACACTGTCCACTCTGCCTGTCAAAAAAAAAAAAAAAAAGACAAAGGAGCGTAATATTTGCCTATAAAATACTTAAATCCAACTTCTTTGGGAATTGAGATCTGGAGCGAGGGTTTGGCACAGCAGCGAAGGCACCTGCTGGGAGTTCGGTGCCCACACTGGGGTGGCGGGTCTGGGTCCCGGCTCCCTGCTCTCGGGCTTTCTGGGCGGCAGCCGCTGAAGAGTCAAGTAGCCGAGTCCCACCTGTGTGGGAGACCCGGATGGAGTGCCGGGCTCCGGCTTTGACCTGACCCAGACCCGGCTGTTGCAGGCGTTTGGAGAGTGACCCAGCAGATGTGTGATCTCTGCCTGTCTCTCGCATTTGAATAAATAAGAAATAAATATGTTAAAAATTATATAAAATAGAGGCCGCTGTGGCATAGCAGGTTAAGCCACCGTCTGCAGCACTGGCAACCCACATCAGCACCGGTTTGAGTCCCAGCTGCTCCACTTCCGCCCAGCTCCCTGCTGATGCACCTGGGAAAGCAGCAGAGGACGGCCCAGGTCCTCCAGCCCCTGCAGCCGTGTGGGAGACCTGGAATAAGCTCCTGGCTCCTGGATTTGACCTGGCCCAGCCCTGTTGGTTTCAGCCATTTGGGGAGTGAACCAGTGAATGGAAGACGTCTCTGTCTCTCTGTCTGTAACTCTGACTTCCAAATAAATAAATAAATATTTAAAAGTATATAAACTATAAAAATCTAGGTGTAAGAATGTGAAAATGTTCAGTGTCATTAATCATCCGGGAAATGTCCATCAAAGGTGCTGTGAGACACCCCCCACCCTGATTCGCATGGCTTTTAGTCGGTAAGAGAAAAAGAACCAAATGCCCCGAGCTCGTGCCTGCTGCTGGCGGGAGGCAGATTAGCACAGCCACCACGGGGTCGTCCGGGAGATCAGTGTGACCACCGTCCCCGGGGGTGTGCATCCGGGGGAACAAAGCGGTGTCTGCACCCCATGTCCACTCAAGCCAAGACAGAGTCAGCCAGACGCTCTCACTGGGTGAAGGAAGACCAGGCGGGAGCTGCGGCAGCACGTGGGAAGAACGTGCCAGGCACGGAAAGACCAAGACGCAGGTCTCAGCCGCTAGAGGAAGCGTGGGGGGAGGGGAAGGCCAGACCATGGGCACCGAGATCCGATTTCACGCGAGAAACCAGCTCTCGTGTTTCACAGCACGGCTGGGTGTCTGCAGCTCCCAGAAAGATCTAGAAGCTCGAGGGGCACGAGGCTCTCGACACGGACATGGCGAGAGTTCCTGGGGATGGAAATGGGCGTCACCCTGCCTTACGTGCCCCTGCTCACACGTGTCCAGTTGGACTGCACTCCACAAAGATGTGCAGTTATTCTGTCGATAAAAATACTCGACCCAGGGCGGGTGTCCGGCAGAGCAGCTAAAACGTCACCTGCAGTGGCCATGTCCCCACGTTTGCGCCTGGCTCCGCCCCCAGTTCAGCCTCTTGCTATAGAGCGCCTGGGAGGCATCAGGAGACGGTCAAGTCCTTGGGTCCCTGCCGCCCACATGGGAGGCCTGGAGGGAGCTCCCAACTCCGGGCTTCGGCCCGTCCAGCCCCCACTCTTGTGGGCATTTGGGGAGCAAACCAGGGGTGGGCGTGCTCTCCTGCCTCTGTGCCTCACAGATAACTACGTTTGTTAAATGTTTAATTGACAACACTGACAGCAGCCTAGAAAAATCTAGATCCAGTTGCAGCCAGAGGCTACGAGAGAGCAGGACAATGCTGGCCCCCTCGTGGCCGTGCAGGCTCCGTGTGGGGGTCACGCAGACAGAAGCTGGCTGACTTCTTACACTGAATCTAAGAAGACCAGCCCCTACAGCGTGCCCCACGGGCCACAACCTGCCACGCTGACACACCAGGAAAGCACGGGCGCACACGCGTGTAGACACATCAATATCACAGCGGCGAGGCAGCTTTGAAAGCAAAACGTGTGAAAATCCAATTTCGATCCGCAAGTCTGCTGTGTCACAGCTCGGAAAACACAGCACGAAACAAGAAGCGGGACGGGGGAGGCATCATGGCCAGAATCCGCGTTGGCACCGGGTCCCTGCCCCGTAGAAGCAGATCTCTATGATAATGTGTAAGAATATATTTATTTTTACCCTAGACACCTTTGCTTGTGTGTGTGTGCGCGCGCGCACACGTGTACCATGACTATCAGGAATGATGACACAGAGTCTCTGGAAGGTGGCCTCTCTGGACTCTATCAGAATTCACTATTCACCAGGCTCCAGGGAGACAATGGTTCTATCCCCGTGGGGAACACAGACAATAAATCTATAAACGATCCGGAGACAAGATTCTGGACGATGAAAAGACGAGAGTGGGGGCCGGCCTCGCGGGGCAGCAGGCTGAGCCGCCACCTGCAACACCAGCACCCACGTGGGCACCAGTTTGTCCCGGCTGCTCCACTTCCCATCCAGCTCCCCGCTAACGCGCCTGGGAAAGCAGTGGAGGATGGGCCAAGTGCTGGAGCCCCTGCACCCATGCGGGAGACCCAGATGCAGTTCCAGGCTCCTGGCCTGGCCATTGTAGCCACTTGGGGAGTGAACCGGCAGTGGGAGATCTCTCTGTCCCTCCCTCCCTCCCTCTCTCTGTGTCTCCCTCCCTCCCTCCCTCTCTCTGTGTCTCCCTCTCTCTCTCTAACTCTGCCTTTCAAATAAATAATCTTTTTTAGAAAAGTAAATAAAAATACCCTGAAACCTGAAGGATTAAAAGTCCCGTCCACTGTCTGTCTAGAGCAGCACTCACCTAAAGAGATACAGCAGGAGCCACACACGTCATCTAGAATTTCCTAGAAGTTTCATTAAAAATTAATATTTAGTTTAATATGCCCAAATTATCATTTTATTGTGTAATAAACATTTTTTAAGATTTATTTTATTTATTTGAAAGAGTTACAGAGAGAGGTAGAGACAGAGAGAGAGGTCTTCCATCCACTTGTTCACTCCCCAAATGGCTGCAACGGCTGGAGCTGCGCCAATCCAAAGCCAGGAGCCAGGAGCTTCTTCCGAGTCTCCCTCGCGGGTGCAGGGGCCAAAGACTTGGCCATCTTCCACTGCTCTCCCAGGTCACAGCAGAGAGCTGGATGGGAAGTAGAGCAGCCGGGACTAGAACCGGTGCCCATGTGGGATGCCGGTGCTTCGGGCCAGGGCGTTAACCCGCTGCACCACAGCACCGCCCCCTGTGTAATAAACATTTTTAAATTATCAGTGAGATGTTTTACATTCTCTATAGCAAATTTTTAAAGCCAGCACAGCATATATTTTACATTTGTAGCACACTTCAGTTAAATGTGACATTTTCATCATCAATGCTTGATCTGTGTTTAGATTTCATAAAATTTATAGGTGAAAAGGTAGATTCTCAGGCTTGAGTTTTTCCCAACATATTGAGACATTTTCCAATAACTGAATTGAATGCCAATCACTTCTCACCAGTAACTGCACACGCTGACAACAATGGTTCATCTTCTTAGACGCTGGCAGGATTTCAGGTAAAACCCCATCACCTTCCACACGACATCAAGCTAAGTGAACTCACCAACTCACGCTGACTTGGGATTAACACCAAATTCAGAGATAAACTGAAAAACAACTATAAATTTATCAACAAAATGTACTTCACATGTTTCTTACAGTTTTTGCAACTAATTTCCCTAAGTGTGGACCACATGAAAATCTTACATATAATGGTTCTTAAGCTATTATTTTTATTATTTTTTTTGACAGGCAGAGTGGACAGTGAGAAAAAGAGACAGAGAGAAAGGTCTTCCTTTGCCGTTGGTTCACCCTCCAATGGCCGCCGCGGCAGGCGCACCGCGCTGATCCGATGGCAGGAGCCAGGTGCTTCTCCTGGTCTCCCATGGGGTGCAGGGCCCAAGCACTTGAGCCATCCTCCACTGCACTCCCGGGCCACAGCAGAGAGCTGGCCTGGAAGAGGAGCAACCGGGACAGAATCCTGCACCCCGACTGGGACTAGAACCCGGTGTGCCGGCGCCGCAAGGCGGAGGATTAGCCTAGTGAGCCGCGGTGCCGGCCCTTAAGCTATTGATTTGTCATTTGAAAATATTTCATGCCAACATACACCCCTCATACCTACTCCCACTAGATGCAGGGTCTTGGAGCTTCGGATGTAGCTCACTCACATCTACGGTGATGTTGTCTAAGGTGACGCTGTCTAAGGTGACGTTGTCTAAGGTGACGCTGTCTAAGGTGATGTTGTCACGAGTGGCAGGAGGAGACGTAGCTCCCGGTGCTCAGTCCGCGTGCAGAACCGGCACAGCACCAGGTCTTTCCTGTCCACGTCTGATGCGTGGGCAGGAAGGACCTGAGCCCCTTTCTACATCCTGAACACCCCCAGCCCTGGCCGTAAAAGCCCTCGCAAGCCCCTTCCCAGGGAGAGTTTCTTTAGGGAATGCCACGTTCCCACCTTTTTTTTTTTTTTTTAAGATTTTTTTTTTTTTTGAAAGGCAGAGTTAGAGAGAGAGAGGAGGAGAGGCAGAGCAAGAGAGAGGTCTTCCATCAGCTGGTTCACTCCCCAAATGGCCACAGTGAATGAGCCTGGGCCAGGCCAAAGCCTGGAGCCAGGAGCTTCTTGCAGGTCTCCCACGCAGGTGCAGGGCCCAAGCACGTGGCCATCTCCACTGCTTGCCCAGACGCATCAGCAGGGAGCTGGATCGGAAGTGGAGCAGCCGGGACTCAAACCAGCGCCCATATAGGATGCTTGCGTCGCAGGCAGCGGCTTACCCTCCCAAGCCCCAGCGATCCGCTTCTTACTTGTCACAAGCTGAGACCACGTGGCGGCACCCAAGCTGTCGGGTCCCTGCGTTCACTCACATTGGCAGGGAGTACAAGATCATTAAATTCATCGCCTTCCAGTTGAAGTCTCAAAAATGGCCCGAGTGCTTGGGCCCTGCACCCGCATGGGAGACCAGGAGGAGGCACCTGGCTCCTGGCTTCGGATCGGCGCCGCGCCAGCCGTGGCGGCCATTTGGGGAGTGAACCAACGGAAGGAAGACCTTTCTCTCTGTCTCCCTCTCACTGTCTATAGCTCTACCTGTCAAATAAATTTGAAAAAAAAAAAAAAAAAAAAAAAAGAGGAGCAGAGGGGCCTCGAACCGGCGCCCAGCGGGATGCGGGTGTTGCAGGCGGATGCTTAGCCCATTGCACCCGAAGCAGATAAATGCCTCCCTCACAGCCTGGCCCTGCCAGGGGGGTTTTTAGCAGATCGTGGCAAAAACAAAAACAGCAACCAAACAACCCACGAGGAAGGGGCCATGGCCGGCAAACAGCCCACCAGGGGCCAGCTCCGCCGTCCGGACACCGTGGGCCGGGGCTGACGGCACCGGGCGCCTCCGGGGTTTTTCTGCAGGTCTTGGTGGGGCAGCGCGGTCCACACCGGCGGCGGCCCTCGGGCACACCAGGAAACGCCTCGCTGTGGCTCCGGGCCCAATCCGAGCCCGGGCCGCTTTCCCGCTCTTTTGTGCTGCAAACCGGACCAATCACAGTGCTGCTCTGTTCGTGCCGACCAATAGGGGCAAGCGCCGTCGGGCGGTGGGCGGGCCGCCGGCAGCCGTTACGCTACCCGCCGAGCCCCGCGGCTGCGCTCCGCACGCCCCTGGCTCCGAGTCGACGGCCGCGAGCGGAGGCCCAGGTGCTGCGGGCCGGCGGCGGGAGTGGACGCGGTGCGACGGGCGTGGACGCGGGCCGGCGGGGCGCGGGAGGACGGCGGGGCGCGGGAGGACGGCGGGCGCGGGTGGGCGGCGGGCGCGGGTTCCTCAGCACCCTCGGCGCGCTCGGGCCGCCCCGCGCCGGTCCCGCGGGCCCCGCCAGCCTCGCCTCGCCGAGGGCTCCCGCCCGGAAGGCCGCGTCCAGCCGAGTCGCGTGGCGAGGGGCGGGCGCGCCGGGGCCTGGCGGGGTCCGGTGCGGGGAAGGTTTCCCGAGGAGAAGCGGCGGTGCGACGGCGGGGCCTCCCGGGGGGAGCCTCCGGGTCCGTGGCCGCCGTGGGCAGGGCCGTGCGGGGACGAGGCCACCGTTCTGCGGGAGGCGGGCGGGGTGCGGCCCGGTGGTCAGCGCGCCCGGGGAGGCGGGAGGCGGGCGGAGCGCGGCCCGGTGGTCAGTGCGCCCGGGGAGGCGGGCGGGGGGGTGCGGCCCGGTGGTCAGCGCGCCCGGGGAGGCGGGCGGGCGGGGTGCGGCCCGGTGGTCAGTGCGCCCGGGCAGGCGGGCGGGGTGCGCCCGGGGAGGTGGCCGTGCCAGCCTCGTGGGGCAGCCGATGGCGCTCCCGGCTTCGGCCTGGCCCAGTTCTGGCCATCTGGGGAGTCCACCAGAGGATCTCTCTCTCCCTCCCTCTCTCTCTCTCCTTCCCCGCCCCGACCTCTCTCCCTCTCCTCTCCCCTGCAGTCTGGAGAGGAGGAGGATGTGGGCGCGCGCCTTGGAGTGGAGTTGCAGATCTGCCAGACCCGTGTCGTTGTTGTTTAAATGTCCGCTTCGGGCTCCATGTGTGTGAAAGGCCGTCCTGGGGGAGCAGCCCGTCCTGGGGGAGCAGCCCGTCCTGGGGGGAGCAGCCGGTCCTGGGGGGAGAAGCCCATCCTGGGGGAAGCAGCCGGTCCTGGGGGGAGAACCCCATCCTGGGGGAAGCAGCCGGTCCTGGGGGGAGCAGCCCGTCCTGGGGGAAGCAGCCGGTCCTGGGGGAGCAGCCGGTCCTGGGGGGGAGCAGCCCGTCCTGGGGGAGCAGCCCGTCCTGGGGGGAGCAGCCCGTCCTGGGGGAGCAGCCGTGGCCGCTGTGGTTTGACTTGCATTTCCCTAAGAACTCGCGGTAACTTGAGCGCCGTGCTTCTTGGCCGGTGGTATATCTTCTTTGTAGATGTGTTTATTGAAGTCTTTGGCTAACTTTTTTTTTTTAAGATTTATTTTTTACTTGAAACTCACAGTTATGCGGAGTGGGGGAGGGAGAGGGAAAGAGAGAGAGAGGTCTTCCATCCGCTGGTTCACTCCCCAATTGGCTGCAACCGCCGGAGGTGAGCCGATCCCGAGCCGGGAGCCTCCTCCAGGTCTCCCACGCAGGTGCAGGGGCCCTTGGGCCATCTTCCAGTGCTTTCCCAGGCCACAGCAGAGCGCTGGACAGGAAGTGGAGAGCCAGGTCTCAAACAGGCATCCGTATGGGTGCCGGCACTGCAGGCGGCGGCCTTACCCGCCACGGCACAGCGCCTCCAGCTGACTTTCTGGGACTGGTTGTTTGTCTTCTGTGTTGTTGGGCAGTGAGATCTCTGTGTTGATAGACCATAACTGCAGGGTTTTCAGTTCACATTTCGGAATGCAGCTGGGGCTTGCGCCGTGGCTCGGGTTCAGCCGCCGCCGGTGACACTGCACGTCGTTCCTGAGTCTCGGGCCTCCACTTCCCATCCAGCTTCCTGCTAACCTGGTCCCTCTCTCTCTTCCCCTCTCTCTCTCACTGTGCCTTTCAAATGAATCTTTTGTAAAAAATGAAACTTGCCACACATTGAATGCAGAACCAGATGCGAGTGAAAGTCCAGCTTCAGACAGACAGAGATTTCTAAATGAAGGCTGCTGCTTTTCCCACAGTGTTTTGGAAATGCCTTTATTAGGAGTGACTTAGGTTAAGCAGTGAGTTTAGGGGGCTGTGTTGCCGCCCAGCAGGGTGCCAGCATCCCGTAGGGGCACTGGTTCGAGTCCCGGCTGCTCCACTTCTGGTTCAGCTCCCGGCTAATGCACCTGGGAAAGCAGCGGAAACGACCCAGGTCCTTGGGCCCCTGCACCCACGTGGGAGACCTGGGGGAAGCTCTTGGTTTCGGCCTGGCTCGGTCTAGGTCATTATGGCCATTTTGGGAGTGAACCGGCAGATGGAAAATCTCTAACTCTGCCTTTCAAATAAACCTTTGTAGAGAGTAATGAGCTTATTATTTATGATTAAGTTATTTTCTCTAAGATGGTGAATATTCTTAAAATGTAGTTTCTGAGTCTAAAACCCGCTGATCCATGCTAACGTCAATTATTTGATAAGTTAGCTTTGTTTTCACTTTGAACTATATTTTAAATACATTTACCTGGCATTCTTAGACTGGAATATTTGCAGTTTCAGATAAAATCCTTCAAGCCAAAAATTGTGACTTAATAGTAAAGTCTAGTTTAGTAGTCCATAATCCTTTGTGTTCTGTGTGTGTGGGTTCATTCTCTTAGAGAAGGGAGTCTGACTGTAACACACCTCGAGTCCATAACTCCAAAGCTTAAGCCCCACTAACCAATCTTACTGCAGTAAAAATATAAAAAGCTATTAAGCTCTTGGTGTTATGCCTTAAATTCTCGATATTACACCATAATTTTTCAATTACTAGCTAACAAAAATGTCTGTAACATTCAGTTGAGGGTGGAATACTCATAGTTGCTACTTCAGCTAATTCCTAAGCCTCACGTATGTGCATCTTGTCCATTTGTGCGTGTTATAAAGCACCTAGAATTCATTACGTATAAAGAAGAACTTAACATCTCTAGTGCTCCTCACCCAAAAGCAAAATAGCACTAAAGAAAAAAAAACTGTTGTTTCCAAGTGCTTAGATCAGTGATTATACTGTCAATGATTTAATTTTTTAAAAAAATTTGAGGGGCCGGTGCTGTGGCATAGCGGGTAAAGTCACTGCCTGCAGTGCTGGCGTCCCATGTGGGCACTGGTTTGAGTCCCAGCTGCTCCACTTCCAACCAGCTCTCTGCTGTGGCCTGGGAGAGCAGTGGAAGATGGCCCAAGTGCTTGGGCCCCTGCACCCACATGGGAGACCCAGAGCAAGCTCCTGGCTCCTGGCTTTGGATTGGTACAGCTCTAGCCGTTGTGGCCATCTGGGGAGTGAACCAGCGTGTGGAAGAGCCCTTTCTTTCTTTCTTTCTCTCTCTCTCTCTGACTCTGACTCTGACTCTGACTCTGACTCTGACTCTGACTTTCAAATAAATAAACAAATCGTAAGAGAAATTTATCTGGGGGCTGGTGCTGTGGCACAGTGGGTTAACGCCCTGGCCTGAAGTGCTGGCATCCCATATGGGCACCGGTTCTAGTCTCGGCTACTCCTCTTCTGATCCAGCTCTCTGCTGTGGCCTGGGAAAGCAGTGGAAGATGGCCCAAGTCCTTGGGCCCCTGCACCCACATGGGAGACCTGGAGGAGGCTCTTGGCTCCCGGCTTCAGATCGGTGCATTTCCGGCCATTGCGGCCACCTGGGGAGTGAACTAGTGGATGGAAGACCTCTCCCTCTCTCCGTCTCTCCCTCCCTCCGTCTCTCCCTCCCTCCCTCCCTCCCTCCCTCTCTCTCTCTCTCTCTCTCTCTGCCCCTCCCTCTCTGTGTGTAACTCTAACTTTCAAGTAAATAAATCTTTAAAAATAAATAGAGAGATTTTCCATCTACTAGTTCACTCCCCAATTGGCCGTAACAACTAGGGCTGAGCCAGGCCTAAACCAAGAGCTTCTTCCAGGTCTCTAGCATGGGTCCAGGGACCAAGGACTTAAGCCATCTTCCACTGCTTTTCCAGGCACGTAAGCAGGGAGCTGGATCCGAAGTGGAGCAGGCAGGACATGAACTAGTGCTCATATGGCATGCTGGTGTCACAGGTTGCAGGCGTACACCTTCCGGATAGGTTAATGCCGGCGAGACCTCGGAGACACCAGACGCGTTTATCGGCTTTTCAGCTTCCACTTTATTTTTCAGCAGACTTGCGTTACATGTCGCGAACGCCCGCCCTGTTACCGGCATTCATTCACAACTCCTTCATTCACCACTCCCGCTTACTACTCGCATTCATTCACAGCTCCCGCCTGTTACCGGCGTTCATTCACAGCTCCCGCCTGTTACCGGCGTTCATTCACAACTCCGCCTGTTACCGGCATTCATTCATTCCTCCGTCTTTTACCAGCGTTCATTCATTCCTCCGTCTTTTACCAGCGTTCATTCACTCCCCCCGCCCACCGTCCACCTATTTATATATATGATTCACGGAAAACATGTTACCAACTAAGTGTGGGAAACATGCAATAACAGGATGCTTAAAGTCAAAACAGGATCTTGCAATTAGCAACGGGCAGGGTGGAAAAAGCCCAGCACTGAACTTCTTGTGCTTGTACATGTCGGGAGGGGCACAGCTGGCCAGGCTGTCCTGTTCCCCGACAACAGGTTGTGGGTTTACCTGCCACGCCACAATGCCAGCCCCTAGAATTTTTTTAATGTAATTACTCTATGTATTTGTTATATATCTTCACCTTCCTTATCACTCTTTTGTTAAAAAAGGTTTTATTTATTTGAGAAGTAGAGTTACAGAGAGGGAGAGACAGAGAGGAAGGTCATCGTGTGCTGGTTCACTCCCTAAATGGCTACAACAGCTGGAACAGGGCCCATCCGAAGCCAGGAGCTTCTTCCAGGTCTCCCTCATGGGTGCAGGGGCCCAAGCACTTGGGCATCTTCTGCTTTCCCAGGCCACAGCAGAGAGCTGGGTCGGAAGAAGAGCAGCTGGGACTTGAACCAGCACCCATGTAGGATGCTGGTAACGCAGGCAGGGAATTAGCCTACCACACCACAGTGCTAGCCCCAGGAATTTAATTTTTAAATGCTTTTAAATACAGCTCTGTTTTTAAAAAAATCTCATGCAGTTTTGTGCATGAC